GTTTAAAGTTTGGCATTACTTATAAGCCTTGTACACTTGGTTTTTCCATTATTTTTAAATTTCTGTTAAAAAACGACAAATTTATGAATTTGAAAAAAAAAAAAAAAAAAACTACGATGAAATATCACCAAGCTCTATAAAATATACGCAAAAAGTGTTGAAGTTACTGTATTGTATAGAATACGCAGAAATCTATGGCTGTTTTTATAGAAAATATTTTATAACATTTCTTAAGTTATTATTAATACTGTGATTCCATAGTACAATGATAGTCTTTATCAAGATAACTGTTAACACAAAGTAATTGATTATGGGTTGTAAGGTCATACGTTGTGTAATAATTTAGATAACTAATTTTTTGGCTTAGCAAGCAAAACAGATTTATTTACTGCTGAAGCGTCCAGTAACTACAATAAAATACTAATGCTATGTTAGTGAGCAAAGCTCTGAAAAATAGAATATATGGATTTTCTTCTACTGCAGATATTTCAATTTCTTACAGAATTAAAAAAAAAAGATCAACTAAAGTAGATATAAACGTTTGAAAGAAGTACATTGCCATTGTCATAAAAAAAGACATTCATATTCTGAAGGAAACATGAATTTTAATGAAAATACACATTTTTTTTTTTAAATGAGGGACAAAAGATCTTTAACTTAAGACTTTAAAAAAACGCCTGTATTTGAAGAAAAGGAAGCTGTAGCTAAAAAACTAAGGAGGACTTTTTAAGGCCATAATATATTAGTCTGACGTACAGCATCTTTAATCTAGCGAATTTCCTAACATGATTCATATAGATGGGAATCTGGTATACATGTAGCGCCCGCCGACAGCCGAAGCTCCAAACAAGTTTCACGCCGCAAACAACAGCTCGTTCCACGAGCGATTTGGTAGTTGGCGCTCAGCGCGCCCTCTCATCTCCGCCGTCGACTCTGCCGTGCCTACCTTTAGGTAGCGTGCGCGGCTCGTCACTCTCGCTTCGACCAGCGACAACGAAGGCACGCGCAGCAACACGATCTCTTGAAACTACCAATTCTTTTCTGTACTTAATAAATGCAAGTTTTGTTACACGCTGCCTGATCATTCTTTGCGTCCTGCTTCGTACCTCCGTCATCCTTGAGCATCGGGGATTAGCTCACCCGTGATAATTCCCAAAGTGGCGATCCTGCCAGGATACGACGAGCTTCGAGGTAAGCAGAGCATCAACAGCGAAGAGCTGAGGGAGCGCAGCCATCAACAGGCCGAGGCCCAAGTCGCGCCGGCCGCCATCTTAGACTCTCTCTCTCTCTCCATCTCGGTCTTAACGACGATCAGTGCCAACAAGACTTCGCGCGCATCAGCGGACATTTTCCCTCGCGAGTGAGTGTGTGCGTGGGTAACGTGCCGAACAAAAGGGTTTCGCGTAAGGCTCGCTACAGTGCTGCATAAAAAGGGTTTCGCGTAAGTCTCGCTACAGTGCTGCATAAAAAGTGTTTCGCGTAAGGCTCGCTACAGTGCTGCATAAAAAGCGAGCTCGACACGACCGCCATTTTTTTTTTTTTTTTCTTCTTCCCAAATTGTTCTCCGCACTTTTCATTGCGACGAAGGGGGAAAACCGCCAAGGTCGGCCATCTTGGTTGGCGGAGTGCCGCGACCGACCATCATCGTCGTTCTCGTCCTCTCTCCCCCTCGCGTCCACCGACACGCAGCTGTGCAGTGATATTTTGCTCTCGTCCCTCGCGAGTGAACCGCCGAGCCGGGGTTAGAGCCGTAGCTCACCCAGCCACGAGTCTCAGCTCGCGCGCAACAAAACGGTTTACGACGTCGCAATTTTCGTCGCGCACCCTAGCCCACGCTGACAGGTGCACGCACGCCGTCAGTCCACCTCCCTCGTATAGCCGTGCCATCAGGTGTCGTGCGACACGCACGTCGCCGGAGTAGGGACCTCAGCCTTCGCGACACTGGGGGACTCCGACGAGGAGCTATCAGAGGGTGACGAGCGCGCCCAACGTCGACAGCAGCAGAAGGAGCAGGCCGAGTTACTGCAGGCTCTTTTGGCCGGGCAACTGCAGGAACACGCAGAGGAAGCCGACGCTAAAGCGACGTCAGCGACGGCCCAGGAGGCCGCCTCCGAGACCGAGCAGCAACAGCAGCAGACGACAGCTACCACCATGACCGAGCCGAAAATTCCTCGCTTCTGGGCCGAGGCCCCCGCAGCTTGGGTCGCCCAGGCGGAGGTCATCCTGCAAGCCAGCGGAACGACGGACGACTCGCAAAAATACATCGCGCTCGTCAGCGCACTCACTGGTCCTGCGGTATCGGAGCTTTCCGACATCATCGCCAACCCTCCGACGACGAACCGCTTCAAGGCCATCAAGGACGCGATCCTGTCCCGTTTCCAGGACTCTGCCGACGCCCAGCTGCGCAAACTCTTCGGGCAGCTTCAACTGGCTGACTTGAAGCCATCGCAGCTCCTCCGCCAGATGAAGGGCCTGGCCGCAGGCAAGGTCTCCGATGAAATCCTGAAGGTCCGGTGGCTCGACCTCCTTCCTCCACAGGTCAACAGCATCCTCCGGATCATGAAGGCAGCTACCCTCGATGAGCTCAGTGACATGGCAGACGAACTCGCTGGCTCCCTTCCAGGCGTCAACGCCGTGTCCACTCCGCCCGCGCCTGCGACAGCGCCGGTCCATCACGCAGGCCCTAGCCTCGCGCAAGAGGTAGCCGAGATACGAAAGCTGCTCAATCAGCTGCTCTCGGAGAAGCAGCAGCAACCCGCCCGGAACCGTTCCAGGTCGCGCTCTCGAGGGCGGAACAACCAGCAGGCCGACCCAGTTGCCCACCCGGATTGGTGCTGGTTCCACCAGAGGTTCGGGGCAGATGCCAGGAACTGTCGCGCGCCCTGCTCCTTCGACCGCAAGCTGCAGCCCCAGCCACTGACGCTCACCGCCGCTAACGCCACGCCGATACCCACCTTCGACAACCACATCCTGACCATCGAGCTGGGACTTCGACGGGCAGCGACATGGAATTTCATTGTCGCCGACACCCAGGTCGCTATCATCGGAGCCGACTTTCTCGCACACTTTGGCTACTTCGTGGACGTCAAAGGTAAGCGCCTCATCGATCCGACGACTAACCTCTCGACGCCTGGCTCCCTAGCACCGGCAGCCATCCACAGCGTGTCGGTCGTCACTGCACCGGCGCGCACGCCTCCTGGAGGCCTAGGCCGCCGCTACGCAGACCTCTTCGCCGAGTACGCCGACATCTGCTCCCCGGAGGCCACCATGGCAGCACTTCCCGACCTGCCGGTGCAACACACCATCCACACGACCGGCCCTCCAGTCTTCGAACGGCCTCGGCGCCTGCTTGGAGTGCGTCTGAAAGCTGCCAAAGAGGAGATCGGACGCCTTCTCAACCTGGGCATCGTCCGACCGTCATCCAGTCAATGGGCCAGCCCACTTCACCTGGTCGAAAAGGCTGACGGAGGATGAAGTGTCACGGGCGACTACAGGCGTCTAAACGCCTGCACCACGCCGGACCACTATCCCCTACCGATCATCGACGATCTGCTGCAGGAGGCGTCTGGGAAGGTTTTCTCAGTCATTGACTTGAGGAAGGCCTTCTACCAGATCCCGATCACCGAGGAGGACATCCCAAAGACGGCCATGACAACCCCCTTCGGCGTGTACGAGCTCACGAGGTCTTCCATGGGACAACGAAACGCCGCCCAATCTCTCCAGCGGACCATGGACCACGTCCTGCGTGGTTTGCCCTTCGCCAGGTGCTATCTCGATGATATTTTCGTGGCCTCTGAGAACCACGAGCAACACCTTCAACATCTGCGCCAACTCTTTGACGTCTTGCGCAAGGCGAAGCTCCGGATCAACCCGCAGAAGTGCTTCCTCGGCCAGGACCAGGTCGACTACCTGGGTTACACGGTCTCGGCTGACGGCGTCCACTAACCAGTGCACAAGGTTAAGGACATCCTGGAATATCCAAGACCGTCGAACTCTGCCGAGCTCCGCCGTTTCATGGGGATGATCAACTTCTACAGGAGATGCATGCCCGGCGCCGCCCGGGCCATGGCCCCGCTCAACGAGCTGCTAAAAGCGCTCCCACCCAAGAGCAAGAAGGCCCTGCTCACCTGGGCACCTGAGGCCGACACCGCATTCCAGCAGTGCAAGGAGGCCCTCGCCAATGCCGCCACGACTACTTTCCTCAGGCCAGACGCCCCAATCGCCTTGAGGACCGACGCCTCTGACTCCGCCATCGGGGCAGCCCTGGAACAGGAGTACCCACGTGGCACCTGGAGGCCACTCGGCTTCTTCTCCAGGAAGCTCTCCGACACCGAGAAGAAATACGCCGCTTACGATAAGGAGCTGCTCGCCATCTTCGCGGCCATCAAAGCCTTTGAGCGGGTGCTTGAAGGTCGCCCTTTCACAGTCTTCACGGACCACAAGCCGCTTATCTTCGCAGCCCGTCAGCGCTCTGACAAGGCCTCAGCGAGACAGGCGAGACAGCTGGACTACATCCTGCAGCACCAGGTGACTCTTTCTCACGTCAAGGGCGAAGACAACGTCGTGGCCGACGCTCTCTCGCGCATCAACGCAATAGCCATGCCATCCATTCTGGAACCAGAGGTCATCGCTAAGACACAGGCCAACGACTGAGAGCTGAAGCATCTGCGCAATGACCCCCGCCTCGCCCTTCAACCTCTGACGATCGACGACCATCAGATCTACTGCAACATCTCCACAGGGAACGTAAGGCCATACCTTCCAGAGGAGCTCCGCAGGACTGCATTCCAGGTTCTGCATAACCTTTCGCATCCGAGTATCAGAGCAACAACCCGCCTCGTGTCCGAGAAGTTCTTCTGGCCCAAGATGCGCAAGGACACTTCTTGCTGGGCTCAGCAGTGCGAACCGTGTCAACGCGCCAAAGTTCACCAGCACAATAGCTCTGCCCTCGGCGACTTCAACACGCCAGACGGACGTTTCGAACACATCCACGTCGACCTGGTGAAGCTTCCTCTAACAAAAGGGTTCCAATACTGCTTGACCATCATTGGCAGGTTCAGCAGATGGCCAGTCGCCGTCCCAGTTGCCGATCAACAAGCCTCGACTGTCGCCAGGGCTCTGTACGGTAACTGGATCACCTGCTTCGGAACTCCGCTCACCATCACATCGGACCAAGGAGCCCAATTCGAATCGGCCCTCTTCACGGAATTGGCCAAGATGATTGGCTCAAATCGCGTCAGGACGACGCCCTACCACCCGCAATCAAATGGGATGGTCGAGCGTTTCCACCGCTCTTTCGAGGCTGGACTAATGTGCTGCCCGGACGTACCTTGGCCTGAGGCGCTACCTTCAGTCCTCCTGGGTCTGCGCACCGCCTTCAAGGAAGACCTCCAGGCATCTCCGGCCGAGATGCTCTACGGAACGACGCTCAGGGTGCCCGGCGAATTCTTCACCGTCCAGAGCCACCCACACGCCAATCCACCGTCTTTCGTCCAAGGCCTTCGTCGCCTCACGCAAGCCATCAAGCCTGTCCAGGCGTCGAGGCACATTGCGCCGCAGAAGCCCTTCGTCTTCAACGACCTTCAAAAGTGCTCCCACGTCTTCCGACGCATCGACGCCATCCGGAAGCCGCTGGACCCTCCATACTCAGGGCCGCACAAGGTCATCCGGCGCATTGATGACCGCAACTACACTATCGAGGTCAACGGCCAGCCACGCACTGTATCCACAGACACGCTCAAGCCGGCCTACCTCGAGGCAGCCGACCTGCCCATTACCAGGCTCGACGAAGCTGCTCCAGCATCTCAACAGTCAACAGGACCACCGACTCCACAACGTTTTCCCGCCGACTTGCCGCCACCAACGACGACCTTCACTCCGTCACCCACCCAGCCCTTGCCTGGACCAGCGGCTACCTCAACGAAGAAACGAGTATCGTTCTGTCCGCTCCCGGCGAACAGCACTGGGGGGGGAGTCCCTGTGGCACCCGATGACAGCCGAAGCTCCAAACAAGTTTCACGCCGCAAACAACAGCTCGTTCCACGAGCGATTTGGTAGTTGGCGCTCAGCGCGCCCTCTCATCTCCGCCGTCGACTCTGCCGTGCCTACCTTTAGGTAGCGTGCGCGGCTCGTCACTCTCTCGCTTCGACCAGCGACAACGAAGGCACGCGCAGCAACACGATCTCTTAAAACTACCAATTCTTTTCTGTACTTAATAAATGCAAGTTTTGTTACACGCTGCCTGATCATTCTTTGCGTCCTGCTTCGTATCTCCGTCATCCTTGAGCATCGGGGATTAGCTCACCCGTGATAATTCCCAAATACATACATGTCATATTTGACCTGGAAACAAGTGAATTTTCTGCTACTGCTGATATTCTGCAAAAAGCGTACAAATGAGATTCTATTCACTTCTTGATTTTTACAAAGCCAATTTATAAAATTGATAAGAATTTTAGTCTAGTTACGGGATTATAGTGCATTAATAGGTACTTATGTCCAAATGGAAATGAAGTGTTACATCCTTAGTTGGTACAGACGAATCATACTATTAGTAAAACAACACTTCATTCGTTAAATGAACATACAAGATGTAACGTGTGTATACATAAGCTTACAAAAGTATAACGCTACCTTAGCTTCAATTCGCGTCGTTCTTAATATGTTGACATATAATGAAGTCAGCCTCATCGTAAAAATACTTATTTGGATTAAAACAGTGCGTTATATATATGCATACATGTATGCATAAATTGTGTTGTATGTATGAATAAATAGATTATTTGCGTATGAAATGTCTATCTATAATAATGTTATACCATATTTAAAAACTATAATTAACAAATAATTCCATTATATTCAAAATTAATGGTAAAATTTTTAAAAGATTACCTGCTAAATCTGTAAACTTATAAGTCAGACCTTACTTGTATTTGGTATTTCTTCTACTGCTGACGCAAGCTTGCATTGTAGCTGATCTAAAATCTCAAACGCACCTGTCTGGAAAATTCGATTTGTTCTGTTGTATTAGTATTTCCTAAAACGTGAAATCATTACATAAGACATCATCGCACAAGCCTACTGCCTTACTGTTAACGTAATTTTCAAGAATATCGCTTATTAGTTGACCTCATTTCACCAAAGGTCTCTTTTACTGGCTCTGACGCTGTAAAAACATACTATTAAAAGAAAAAGTTGCTTTTTATATGTCTGTCATCTGTCTTCTAAAATTTAAGTCAACTCTTGACTCCTATGACTCACAAGTACTTTGTGCACGTATGGCATAAAGTGTAGGCTGATGCAACTAGGGTGCATTTCAAAGAGGCTGCATTCATAGTAACAGTATGAGCTGTAGGGAATCCATGTGATTCTCAAAATTCCTAAGCCATACGCTTAAATTTCTAGAAAGGACCCCAGATCCACAGATTGCCACTTCTCATTCCCACTTACCCAGGCAGTATAGATATTTGTTAAGAAAGTTGGATAACACAGGACCACAAAAAAAAAATTAGTGGAAGGGTCCCTTTCAGCAACAATGCATTTCTTATGTATTTTGAGGCGCTGACTTCATTCCCATTGTCTAAATTGCTCTATCACATCACAATTTTTTACACTTGTTAACATGGGGACTACTTTAATTACTGAAATAAAAGCATTTCCGCTTATGAACTCGTTTTTCGTTAATAAAAAAGAATTGTGATATGATAGAGCAATGTAGACAATGGGATTGAAGTCAGTGCCTTAAAATACATAAGAAACGCATTGTAGCTGAAAGAGACCCTTTCTTTTATTTTTTTTGTGGTCCTGTGTAATCAAAGTATAACCTTTGATGTGTACTAAAGACCTCAGCTTGCCTCAGTTTACCTCAGCCACACCAAAGTAGCCGTGGCACTCTCTATCACAACGTCCTAACCTTGGCTTTGCTTGGAATTTTGGAACTTTTTTAAGACAAATAACGAATGTTTTATCATGTAATTTTTTATAGTATTAAACATGTATATATATACCCGTTTTTATCTAGGCAGGGATATTTTTTTTCTTCTTTTGATTTAATTTTCCATGAAGTACCTTATTACAAGCCTATTTTCCACATAGTTATGAGTGTAATTTATCAATATCAATGATAAAGAGATAAGAATACAAGAACACTTATAATTATAAAGACGTAAATCATAATTATGGTTTAAAAAAATCACCCTTGAGTGAAAGATTTGAGTCTACAAACCTTCCGATTTGTAGATTACTGCTCTGCCGATTGCGCTGCTGAAAAAGACTACGATTTCACCTACCCTTGTTCGTGTTATGAGTAAAATTTCTTACAATGATTCACGTTCAATAAGTTAATTGTGTTGTATCATGTAAAAGAGGTTAGGTATGCACTATAAACAGAGTCGTTGACTGGAATGTGTCCGCCTCACCAGCTGTGGCGATAAATGCCGCACGTTTTTTTTTTTTTTTTTCAATCAACCCCGGTGACTGTTCATTGCAGTTAACGAAAATCTTTTTCATTCGTATTGCAATCCAAGACTTTAAACTGTCGATTTGCTATATTTTCGAATTCATTGAAGAGCTCCTTTATGTTTTTTTAGACGTTTAAAAAATGATGCCACATGACAACGTTAACTTCTAAATTTATTCATTTTATTTTTAAGAAACTATATATTTTTTTGAAACTTGTTTGTGCCCTACAAATATCTTATGTTTACTGCTGCCAATAAAAAAATTAGGAAGTATTCATTTGTAATTAAATATAAAAAGAAACGGTGGCACCTTCTAACCACCTGGCTCGGTACACCCTACCTTCCCCTACGTATGTTTTGTTATGGGCTCTTTATCGGAAAATTCTGCGTACATACGGTAAATAATACTTGACTGTATAGTAAATTAGTTGTTATGGATAAATCATTTATTAATAGAAAAACAAACCAATTTATAGATTCATTTTT